ACACACACACACACACACACACACACACACACACACACACACACACACACACACACACACACACACACACACAGAGTTTATCTGCATTTAAATCATATTCAGTCGATTTTTGTTTACATCAATCAGAGAATATTTGCAGGTCGATGGTCTGCTCTTTGGGATAAATAAATAAACTCTGACACTTTGTGTGTCACTGTGTGTAGTTTATAAATTGTTTACAAGATATTTAAAGCTTCTTTCCCAGAGACTCACAAAGTGCTGTACATCACAAAATTAATCAAATTATAAAATTATAATAAAAAAAAAAAACAGAAAAGAAATCCCAATAAAATTACCTCCATGAAGTCTGATACAACAAATGAAGTCAGGTCTTCATAATTAAGATTTTTACATGTACTGATTAAACATGGCTGCCCCTGTCAGAACATGAATAAATGCTGAATTTGTTTAAAAGATTGAAATCAGTATTTGTGTATTGCTTAACAACATAGTTTTACGAAAATGTTTTTTTATTTTTGTAAATCTTTTTGATAATAGGTGTGTTTTGTTTCTAAGCAGGATCAGTGGTTGTGAGGCTCTAGAACCAGGGCTACTCAGCTAATGCCTGGTTCACATGGCAAGATTTTAAAAATGTCAGCTGATTTTCATAACCGGAGACATTCCACACATGAAGATAAAAAAATGATAGATAAAACAGGTTTTATCCTAAGGTGTGTTGCACAGCCACACACCAAAGACAACACACCACACACTAACAGATAACAAACATTCAGATGTCGGACGGGAAATCTCACGAGACTTGGATATCAAACGTGAGTTCAGAGTAAATAAACATGGCCGATGAGGAAGAGGTGATGGTGATAGGTTGTGGACTGTTTTAACAGAGAGAGAGAGAGAGAGAGAGAGAAAAAGAAAAACAACGTCTTCATCGTCCATCAGACTTTCTGTGTGCTCCGGGGCAGTTGTTTCGTCTTCTGCATTTTGGATTCCGCTCCACGTTTTCGTCACCTCACTTTCTGATTGGCTACACGTCACATTCAACCGGGTGCGAGCTCGTGGGGACACCACACACGGTAGGATATCGGACCAAGACAATGGGCCTCATGCAAGAACCGTTCGTACGCACAGATTTGTTCTTCAGTTGTGCGTACGAGTGATTTAGGAGAATTTGTGGCATTCACCAATGTTTTCGTATTCTAAGAATTTTTTCAGATACGAATAAAATTCACGAGTGGTCCAGACCTGTCGTATATTTTACGAGCAGTCAGTCTGCTGTTATCCAGATGGGTTTTCCTCCCTAATAACTTTATATTTCGTTAGTGTGAAGACAATTTGAGTTGAAAATAAATCACACTCCATAATTATGTTGACAATAGGCTATTC